GCTCTTTGTCACAGGAGGCCACTTGAGAGGGTTCATGGGTGGGGCCCTGCGGCCACTCCAGAGAGGCCACGGGTGGCCCTGCGGTCACTCGAGAGAGGCCACCGTAGCGGCAACTGCGCAAGACCCTGGAATGAAATCGCGACCACGAATCGCGATGAAATCATTGAATCGTGACAAGGTGGAGGGAGGGCGTCAATCGTGACAGACCCACTAGCCAGGCTCAGACCTGCTTATCATGCTTTTATCATCCATCCATCATCAGCAGCAGCAACTATGATTCATCTATCCACTTCTGGATGAAGGCCTACTATCCCTCTGCATCCTGCGATGACGAGCCATCACGGCACCTGCGCACGACCCGAATTCCGCCGCTGCATCTCCGCGGCAGACGTGGCTTTTGGGGGCGCATTCCCTCTCCTTGGCTGCCACTCCCGTCGTGAAACCTCGACCACCAGCTGCCGCCGCTGCCGCCGTCGTCGTGCCTTCCGGCCGCGACGCGTCCTGCCTTCCGGCCGCGACGCGTCCTGCCCGAGCGTCGCTTTGCTCCTCTTCACCCAGTCAACGCGATGGCGACGACGTCTCTCGACAAAGACGATTGCGCCCACGTGAGCGGCATGACTCTCATCCTCGGTGCACGCCTCTCGAATCTCTCGACGATGTTTCTGGCCCTTCTTCTCCCCCCCCCCCCTCCCACCGTATTAAATGGAAAGATTCCACACCAGGCGCAAGAAACCTCGCGGTGCCGCTTAGCTGTGACCTCGGACCACTTCTGTGGTCCGGACGCCCCCCCCCTCGCCCCCGTGGATGATCCTCCAATGACGTGGAGAGAATAACGAGTCTCCTGGCGATTCGGCGAGGTGTGAAAATCCGCCGCCGATTCTCCCTTGCGGTCGGCTCTTGCAGTGTTTGGCAGTCGTAAATGAGAAAATGCGACGATGGGTTTTTTTTTCATTCTTTTTTTTCCTTTCTTTCTCTTGCTTCTACAGAGGGTAGAAACCAGCGGGAAACTTTCACACCTCTTTCCTCTGGAATGGTTTCACACAATTTGCGTGCCGTCGCATTACCAACGTTCGCTCGCGCGCACGCATCCCCAGGGGGCGGAGCGCAGATGATTCACGTGCGCGCTGCGTACCGCCGCAGTCGCCGCCCTGTGAAGTTGTGAATCTCAAAAATATATAAAGAGCGCGAGCGGCGAGATAGCGTCGTGAGAGAGCGACACTGTACAGTCGACAGTGAGTTGCGTGGCAGTCAATTCACTCGGCCGAGGTGTTGAAAGAAATCCCAGAGACATTGCGGCCTGCAGCAACGGCAGCGACCACACGGTCGTCGATCGCAGCGAACCGCCGTGACCTCCACGCGAGTCCTCGGTTCTCTGTGTGAATCTCCCAGACTGCGAGTCTAGAAGTCGATGCGAGTCATCGGGTCTCTTGTGCGAGTCTCGCGCTCACTACGTGAGGCCACATAATAGTGAGCCGCTGTGAATTCTTGAACATTCAAGCGATCCATCGCACATCAATGGAAAGCCATTTCCTGGCTAATGGATATGGATCCGGAATCACGAGTTTCTGTTCACCCGGGCCACATTCAAGGAAAATAAAAGTGGATTGAGTCCAGTTTTGTGGCTTCTGGATTCGGGCATTGAGTTTCACCGCTCAGCTCCTCAGGACTCGAAGTTTGTCAACTGTCCCATGAGCCAGTGGTGTAAATTACGCATCCCCCCTGGCAGGATGACTACCATTGACCTCTCGAAAATTGGCACGAATGTTTATCGAACGCGGAAAGATGATGGGCTTTGACTCACGAACGTTCAATCGCGAGTCTCCCCAGCTACCCGCACACACCGTCCGACCAAACATCCGCTTACAATTGCAGAAAGTGAAGTATGCCGGTTTACAAATTTGCAAACCGAGGCACGACCTCGGGGAGGTGGGGTGGTGCGAGGAACTGCAGACAAGCGGGAAGAGGCAGCCACGAAGTGATCCGTTGCCAATAGCTGCCGAAGCTCCCAATCCCACGGTGGCTTGCCATGATTCAGAAGTCAAAACGACTCCAGAAAGCGGGAAAGATCAACCAACGCGTGCAACGCTGCGCCGGTCGTGGTCATTTTTTGCCATTTGTCCACCGCGAGTGGCAAGTCGATGCTCGCTTGCAGTGTACGCCCGCTTGATTTCACCGTATTATTGCTGTAGCAATTGGATTTCAAATGAAGTGACATTGATCGAACTATTAGCCACACTCTCACGTGCTAGCCCCTCTCCCCCCTCTTCACGGTGTTTTGACCGAACAGGCTCAATGATTAATTCCGGACAATTAAACCTGCCCAAGCAATTCCACACCCTTGTATCTACCGACGAATGTGTACACGTTTACATACATGTACATGTATAGACAACACTAATACAATACTTAAGTACTGAAACAATTCGAAGTGCGTAGGTTCCTACGAGTAGTCATTTTGCTAATTCTGCAGTCATTAAGTTTGCCCAGTGCAGCAAATACAATATCCCTGCTTTTTGAGCAACAAAAAAAACGTTGTTATCGTAGAGATTTATCCAACGTTGGCGTCTACGCCTACCAGTTCACTCAAGTGTCCGACTCAAAGAATCGGTTTGAGATGCATCATCACGTGTCGCCGACTGTGGTGCACTAAGCGCAACGTAAAGACGTCGCAAACGTTCGCCGATGTAATGCAAAAACAGGGTTTCCACCCCCCCCCCCCCCCCATGATGAGTCTTTGGGAGCCAAGGGTTTAAAATGTGGAGAAGAATCAATACTTTTGCTTTAAAATCTAATTGCTCACCCATCGGCTTCGATCTCAAACTAATAAGTCTTCATTTAAAACCCATTCCACTACAAGGGTATGTTTTGTTCACTCTCCCCCTAATGCAATCAGCTCACAATTATTCATTGGAGTCAATTACACGTCAACTGCTTTATCTGTTTCTTACACACTGCCTGCTTTCACCGCCGATTATCGTCGTCATCTTTACAAATGACTCCGAATGCTGGATGCCGAACAGGTACACTGTGTCCTCGAAATACCGGGCCAAATTCAGGGATTGGGGCGCCTCGCCAGAACTATATCCTTTCGTTTACACCATTGGAACCTCATTTGCCAGTAAAAATATGATAATTGTTTTTTGACCCTTCTATCTGGCAACAAAACTGACACCTTTTTACAAGGAGTCATGTTTGCATAGACCACAATACCTGCAGTCATAATGCAAACAAAAAACATAACTTTGATAATGTGGTCTATGCAAACATGACTCTTTGTAAAAAGGTGTCAGTTTTGTTGCCAGAAAGAAGAGTAAAAAACCAATTATTATATCCTGTCGCTCAACAAAACCCCTATTAATACCAAGGAAACTTTATTCAACTCGTTTACAGCTCGCAATGTTATTTTTTTGAGTGCTCAGCGATTCGTGTCGTATATTAAAACGCAAGTGTGCGAAGCATTAAGGAATCAACTAACTGAATATTGGCAAAACAATATATTATAAGCGTTGCACGTTCGAAATGAAGAGACGAGGGGCCCCAAGATGGATGACAACGCGCGTAGTTTGGACGTCTGCAAACCGCCGTGACGTGTATACGTCACAGTGGGCAGGCCTGCGCCAGGGATCCGTCAGCCACGTGACCGCTGTCCATGTCGGGCTTCCTACTCGAAAGCCCCACCCAGCCACCTACTGGCCTCAATCAATATTGACCACGTGTGGGTACAAACACGGCGTCGTTGTTGAAACTTAAAGCGAATGTTGCTACTTCAAGAAATAATCGGGGGGGGGGGGGATGCCCATTTCCATTGTGCCACATAAGAACTCGGTTCTTAGAATATGTAGATCATATCGGCATTCATTTATAATATTTTACCTCCTATTCTGCTCTTGCATATGGCAATATGGTTCAGGAGCTAGATGCCAATGTCGAGGTCCGTTAGCCGCGAGAAGGCTTCAGGAGAGAGTTCGTGTAGTTTTTGCTGTTCTTCCTACGTGTAACGTTATATATTAAAATTATATACTACTTGCGTTTTAATACATCTTCAAATGTTGAGCGCTCAAAACAATTGACACAGGACCTCACTGGGACTGCACTGGCGCAAATCATTTCTGCGCAGCGTGGAGATGCGGGGTTAGCGACAGCAAAGTCCATACCTGTCAACCCCTTATCATTGCCTACCTTAATACAGATCAATTCAAACCTCATTGGTCACCCCGTGCCCTTATAAAGCTCAATGTTCATCCTACAAAGTCTCATCACAATGGAGAAACACAAACAAATATACAAAGAAAAATATGTTTTGTTTATGGACCTAAAAACTCAATTTCCCTGTACAAGAATACGGGGTAAACTGTATGGTTTGACAGGTATGCAAGTCGTTTCTGTACGTGGGACACTGCCTTGTCTGCTGTTCACGTTATTTCAAGGACACACTGTAATTAGACAACGGGGCCCCATGGTGAAGATGAAAATACCGTATGCTTGCAAGTGACATTTTAGACGGCCGATCAAATGCAGGAACCGCGTCACCTAAAGGGGTTGCCACCTCTGCCCTGCTTTTCCCAAGAACGGCCTGTGTGTTTTCTTGCAGGTATCTTTTCTTGGGAAATTCCCGGAAACATTAAAAGTGAAAAATTCCCAGTTTCTTTGTCAGTTGCGTAAATGTACCACTCCAGACAATTAATTCACGTGAAGTTTTCTCACCTTTCTGAATTGTCAGATATCAGTCTGCTTCTTCTTCCCGTGATATATAATCCAGTTTTTACCCCCCTTGTTACCACGGAGGTGGCAACCCTGGTGTGTGGATCGGTCAAAATCTTGTTTGTTCAGATGTTTCGCGCCCGTATTCCCTTCGATGATCACTGCTTTGAACTACTCCCTCTCTCTCTCTCCTGTCCTCCATCCTTCATCGTCGTTGTCGCTGTCGTCGTCTTCGTCGTCTGTCGTCGTTGTTTGTCGTGTGTGTGCACTTCGCCATTGTGTCACCGACGCGCTCTCAGTGGCACAGTCGTGTCGCACAGCCGGCCAGGCGGTGGGGCCCGGGGCCCGCGGCCCGTCAGCGAGCCCATCCGAAGCGGGTCGATGCCGAGCAGCGTGTGCAGCGATGGGCGAAGCACGGCGCGGCCCGGGCTGGCGTGGCGGACCCTGCAAACACATTTGGCTTCGGGGAATCTCAGCCTCGCAAAGTGAGCGGCCAACCTACAGGTGGTGTCGTCGTCGTCGCAGCCGCGTGCGAGTGCGTGCGTGCTTGTGTCGTCGTAGTGCGTGCGTGCTTGTGTCGTCGTCGTGCGTGCATGCATGTGTGTGTCTGTCGTCCTGCATGTGTGTGTGTGTGTATAAGTGCGTGCGCTAGCGGGGCGCTGGGCTGGGCCCTGAGCCACCAAAATGTCCCGTTGGCCCGACTCAAGTTCACTCTCCCTCCTTCTTAGTGGCGTGAACCGCTGTGATGGTGCCCCCCTCCCCCACGTGTGAGAGGAGCTGGAGCTCGGCCTGGTGTGCGTGGTGTGTCCATGCCTGTCAAGTGACCGTGGGGAACGGTGGCGCACTGCGCTGCGAACCCGGTGACTCGAGTTCGATTCCCGAACCCACGACCAAAAACAGTGGCCAGTATCTGAACAGGTTCTGGGCCTCCCCTAGGTCGACTCAGCCTTAAGTAAGTACCCAGTGTGGTGTGTGAGCATCAGCACTGTGGGGAGACAAAGGCGGCCGGACGTGGTCACACCACCCCCCCTCGTGTGCCATGTCGGTGCTCGCTAACAACACTTTGCTAACAACAGTGTGTGTAGGCAATACACAGGGGATCTTCGTCAAGTAACTGTGCGTTTTAGTTTCGGCTTAGGGTAATTGTTCTCGGACTTTTTTGGAATGGTGGGTCTTGGCCAAGTCACCAATAACCGCACGTAAAAAAAAACCCACCCCATCAGATTAAAATGTTTTAGCTCTGCATTTCATTTGGCTAAATTGACGCTCTGCCCATGAAAATGTCAGATTGACCGTCATGCAACGAGAGTGCGTCCTTCCACTGTGTACTTTTCGGATCTCAACAATAGAGAATGGCCCGCAGAAGGAGATATCAAAGAACTAGTTCTGTGAGATATCTTCAAGTGACCTCTTAACCACACGGCACTTTCCCTAAGGCCCAATAATCATCCCCGAATGACGCTAAAGCGGATATTTTAAATTCTCAGTGGGAATTTTTGCCAGGTTATGTGGAAAAATATCTCATTTAGTATGATGGGAGTTTTTTTTTAATGTGGTCATTGGTGACGTGGCTAAGACCATCAGAGTCAAACCTATCGACCAAGTGGCACTGTGGCCGCTATGCCTGCTGTGCAGTGCAGCAGACTGTCCGGTCGGAGTGTCGGAGCATGCTGCGTCTCCTTCGTTACGTTTGTATGTACTTATGTATGTACATTGAACTTCTTTCGCACCGTACGTAGCCAACCGTGCTAATCGGAGTTTCTGCCCAAACGTTTTAACGCGGAAGGCGCAGCCCAAACAAAAAAGCCGAGCAGCTCTTTACCTTGTAGGTACGTGCCACTGTGCAGGGTTGTGAAGGAGGAGCAGAGATGGAAAGGGACTCTAAAATAAGAGGGATTGTGGGAGAAAGGATGCGCTTTCCGTCATAGGCAAGTTTGAAGCTTCATTAATCAGAGCCTACCCAGCAAACGTGTAACGCTGGGTCAGCATTGGTCCATCGGTGGTTCAAACCACGTGCCCAACCCACTTCGGCCCATCCTTGCATGTTTATCTGGGTGTGTAGCTCTAGAGCAGAGGTCGGGGAACGTCCGGCCCGCGGGCCGTATATGGCCCGCGAAATCATTTGGTCTGGCGCTGCGAAGGCAACCGCAGGCGGGACTCGAAATTAAATCTAGGAGCAAACCTGCAAAAGCAGTTGCGAATAGCAACATCATCAATACCAGCTAACATCACACGTCTCACCAAAGAGAAGCAGTTCCAGCCATCACATTAGGGGCGAGTTAATTAAATGTTTGGCCAAATATAACAGGCTAATTTTGAAGTTGATAATTTTGTATGGCCCGCGAATGATGCTATAAATATCCAAATGGCCCTTGGCAGAAAAAAGGTTCCCCACCCCTGCCCGAGAGCTTAGGTGTGTAGATACAAGAAAAGAGCTGATTGTGTCTTTGGGTTGGGTCTTTCCATTCGGGGATGCCATCGGGCTATGCAAATACACACAGCAATCTACATGCGATTATACGACTGTGCATATCTCTATAAAACATTATGCAGCGCTCTACTGTGCACTTTTTCCCCCCAAGTGTGCACATTTGTAGAGCGATGCACATACAGCAGAATGTTGTGTGTCCTCTTATGTTTGTACAACGTAGGCAAATTCGTGCAATTTTGCTATTTTTTGCGACACACCATATCCCAGAAATACAATATTTAATTACCTCGGCCATTTTGTATTATTTGGTACCCCGGGGTACCGCCATAAGGATGAAATGAACAACACGTGACACATTTCATCCAATCACAGGCAGGCCGAAGCAGAACGCGAAGGTGAAAACGAGGGCACGTCGCACGCGACTTAAATTCCTTCCGTCGTTTGCAAGACTTCTTTAAAAAGAATTGGGACATTTTTAACCGCACGCAACATTTTCAAAAGTTGCTTTAAAATTTTGAAGTATAGTGTGCAGTACAATACTCCCGGGCCAACATTGATCGTAGTGTACTACCGTGCAGTACCACGCTGTCCAGTAGTACACTCTACAATAGTATGGTATTACCGTTAAGGAATTTGCAATACGATACAGCGATCGGTGTGAAATGTTCAAAAGTGTGTGTTTGTGTTTCTTCAACCCATTTTGAACGCAACATTGCCAAAATAAACCAGGAATCGCGTGTATAAAAGCCGTGTTACACTGGGGAAACTTTAGGGCAACTGTCGCTACAATCGCCAACAGCAACGCAGTGACCATGAGTGGCTGGCAACTTGATAGGACGGAAGCATAGGGCAACAATAGTTGTGTCCAAATTTTGTTGAGATGCGTGTATGACGAACAACGATTGGTCTTCACAGCATACAACCTCAGGTAGTCATTTTAAATGTGGCCTCTGCCCAGTGCCGGATTAAGCTAGTGCGGGGCCTTTAGCATATGTTATAAAGGGGCCCTAAATAAAAGAAAAAGACACAAATATTAAAACACAAATTTTATATTTGCACAGTAAAGTAATTGTATTTTTTCATTTGCTATACTGCCAGATAATACAACAAATCGATAACCTTAAACACCCAGTCGTTCATAAATGTTAAAGGCAGTATAGTACTATAGTAATAAAGCAAGTGCAGAATCACTGAACCGGAATTGATAACTTGAAAGCATTTAGCACGGGGCCCTTGAAAGTGCAGGGTCTGTAGCATTTGCTACTTTTGTTACTAGGATAATCCGGCACTGCCTCTGCCTGCAATCTGATTGAAGGTTGCCATCCCAGTTGCCCACTCGGCGGTAACAGTGATCAGATCTGTCCATATTTATACAGGAAATGTTTCCACGTATCTTGCCATTGACGCTTGCTGGCAACAGTTCTTAAAATTGCCTTACCGTATCACGGCCAACAGGGATGTGTGTGTAGTGAAATGAAAAAAAAATCTATCTGTCGTTCCATTTATGTGAAGTTTACACGAATCCATGTCATTGTTTGTCCCGTCTACTTGAGCACAGTTTTTTGACATTCCGTGAAAGCAGTGGTCATCGTGGGTCATTGCATGGCACCTCTCACACCTTGACTGTTCTTGTGTCTTCGCCGAATTGTGATCATCGTACGGTGTGTGTTGTGCACTGGATAGAGTTGAAATGATTAATAGATTCACATCGATGTTTGACACACAACACGTCACAATGTATCACACGTGTGCGTAGAGCTACCAAACCAAAAAGTCCCAGTGGTTTCAAAAAGTCTTTCACGTTATCCCAAAGCATTGACAAAGTTTGGATTTTGCCCTCGTTTCAAACATTCTGGCCCCTTGCTCAACTACTGATGAGGGTAAAGGGTGTCGCCTCCTGAGAAGTGGGTGAGGCCTGTGAACAATGTCAGACAGCAAGGAGGAGGCCATTTTACTGTGTGGGTGGTGCGAATAGTTAAGTGGGCGTCGCCATGTAAATGTAGGGGGAGGGGCATGACAGAGGGCGGGGCTACCAGCTCCCCCTGTGTCCTGGTTGAGCCTTCTGGGAAATTTGGTAGCTTTACGTTTATTACAATACGGATGCTGTCGATTCATTCCAGTGCACTCGTGACCACATGTTGGGGACGTAGCAGAATTATATTCAACGAGTGAGGTGCTGAAACTGCAGACAGGAGATCGTGGTCACCATCGGTCAGAAATGTCCCCACGCTTAAGTGGGTACAAGCCCATCGAGGTGGAGGGAAGCGTATGAACACCGATGATGATCACGGGCCTCCTTGCGTTGGTGAACCAAGCGGCCGGTGCACCCCAAACAGCGGCCTAGCTGTCGAGTGTGCAGACAGTGCAAACCTAACGGGGTCAAGTGGCCGAAGGGACCCAGGTGCCGCGCTATGAAGAAAAGTGGGGGGGGGGGACGTTTGGCACTGGTTGGGTGGGCCCCATTTCATTTCTTGTGACAGGGCCCATGCCAGTCTTGCCAGCCGTGCTCCGCCACTGGTCCAAAATGTGTCGTCATGAGTGTTCAAATTCCCAGCTGTCTTTGCGTTGTGTAAATGAGCGATGCTCGGTGGTAAAAACTTGATAACCCACAAATTCTCACTGTGTCTAGAAAAAAGCCTTCAGAGTGGTTGGGTTAAGTGGGTGCAGTGAGTACATTTTGAAGTGTTTCAATGATGGCATTGTCCGTTACCTAGTTTTTTTTTCACACTTTCCAACTAAAGTTGAAAGGGTTCCAACATTGATTCTGTCCGTCCGGCCGTAAAGTGAAAGGGGGCGCGGTCATTACAAGTAACGATGATCCTATATAAACGAAACCTTAGTGTAGAGTTGGTTTACTATTGGCGATTAAACCCTTTTGCAAACCGGGCAAATTAATGAAATGGGTTGCCCTAAAAACTTGCAGACACAACCCGGAGTAAAAAAGGTACGGCAATTCGCATTTCGGCCACCGCATTTCGTCCGTAACCACGACCGATCATTGGCTTCCCCACTGATAATGAAATACCTACGCACGCAGACCCAAGTTGGAAAGCG